CAAGTTTTGGTGATGGCGGGGGGGAGGTCGCCGCGTTTGGGGCGCTCCAGAAAGGGTCTCGCCTGCGATGGGCCGAGAAGCTTAGACACCTCTTCCTCGGCCCCTGAGATCCCGGCGACTCAATTTTGTTGCTCGAGCCAGGCGTTCTCGCTCCAATTCGGGCCCCTCGGCCCTCACAGATCGATCCGGCTCGGAAAATGACGCAGAAGGATGGGGTCTGGGGGTCCGGTCGTGATCTTATGCGGCGTTGCCATCTTCGTTGGCAACGTCGGATCTCAGGGGCGGAAGGCCAGCGGCAACTGGCTGGAATAAAACGAAGCCTCGGCGGCTCAAGGATACGCTTGCTTCCTCAGGGGAGCGGGGGGTCGCAAGTCCCCCCCCGGCTGTGCCCAGCGCCAGCACCCAGTCAGACCTGCCGTGTGCGATGCCCGTGGCGCGGCTGGGCGATGCCAGCAGCTTTTACGCCAGCGAGGTGAGCGTGCAGAGGCGGACCCCGACCTCTGCTAACAGCGAGTTGGCGTTCTACAGGGACCCAGTCTTGCTGGAAACAAGGGTCTATGGGTGGCTAGATGGGCCCGAAGTTAGACGGTGAGGCTCATGTAGGAAGATCATTTCCATGGTTGCCTATGCTGCCAATTACAGAGCAACAGCAGTCCCAATTCTACCTGACGTTTCTGCGAGCGTGCTTTCTACCCGTGAGATGTTGTCGACATAAACTTACTTGTTCTCCGTTGGGACGCTGCTGCTCCACCACTTCGTAGAAGCCCAAACTGACGACCCTCGGACTAATAACATGAGCAGCGGGCCTCATGATCATAGGGAGGGAACTACTGCCTGAGACTCCCTGGCAATTCGCACACAGACGAAGCTCCCGCGTGAGACGTCCTCCATACTCAAGCTTGAAGGGCCCGAGAACGACGACACTTACATGGTTCCGATGACATGTTCAGATTCATAACATGAGCAGCGGGTCTCGTAGGGAAGGGGCTCTCGCCCGAGACTTCCTCGCGAGTTTGCTCACAGAAGAAGTTTCCTCGTGAGACTTTCCCCATGCTCAAGGTTGGAAGGGTCAGACAAGACGACCCTTACAGGTTTCCGATGACCCGCTTGGATTATCAACGTGAGCTGCGAGCCCATGATGGGGGGTGCTCACGCCTGAGACGTCCTTGCAATTCACACACAGGCGAAGCTCCCGCCTGAACTTCCTTATACTGAATGAGTGTGTCTGTGCGGTGATGATGACAGTGGTGATGCTGATGATGGTGGTGACGATGGTGATGATCATGCTGATGACGATGATGTCGGTGATGCTGTGGGAGTGATGATGATAATGCCGAGGGAGCTCATGGTAAGCTTGTGGCCGCAGTGCTGATGGTAATACGATGTATGATGAGGACGGTGATGATGATGAGGGTGATGGTTATGGTGCCGACGATACGAATGCTTCACTGGCACACACACGATTGTGGTGATGATGTTGATTGATCCTGACGGTGTGGTGTTGGTGACGATGGTGATGTGGGGGTGTTCCTGTTCCTGCCCCAGGTGACCAAAGAAAAAAACAGCACCGCTTAGGATGTGAAGGTTGTTGCTGTTGTGGCTGTTGCTGTTGAACTCCCACTTCTAAAATATAATCGTTGGTCCCCCGTTCCGATAACCATTGCATGTTTCAATTCCAATGCTCCTCCCAGGGCTCGAGCCTGTTTTTAACAAGGAAATCTAGGCTTCACCAAAATGCAACGTTCGGCCCCGTGTTCCCGCCCGGTACTTCTTCAACATGTGCTCCGAATATCGCGCTCTCGCGTGGGAAACTCATATAATGTACACCGGAATCGCGCTCTCGCGTGGGACTTCCCCGCAATTAATTCAAACACCGCGCCCTCGACACTCAGGAACTACGCCTTCGATTTCGCCTTTCTCACGACTTATTCCGGAATCGCGCTGTCGCTCGAAACTTCCTCGCGATTCATGCAGGATTCACAATTCAGCAGCCCGCCGGCTCGACCTGGCCGCCTAAACCAGCCTTCCCGACCCGCCCGCTAGGGTCTGCCCGCCCGATCTGCCCGTCTGGTTCTGCCACGTGCTTTCAGCTCCTAGCCCCCCTCCCCCTCCTGCTAATTTCTGTCGTGTTCCATCCTGCTCCCTCCCCCTAGCATCCGTCCTCTCTTCCCCTGTTTTTGGGGCTGCGCTAAATGCACGTGGCAGTAAAGGGAAGACATACCGGCATACCCCCAAGGCGGTACGACCGAAGACGGAGAGGGCGGGCACCAAGGGCTTGGGACACACGCGCTGAATGGGACGCAGGCAGATAGGAGCGAACAGTCGTAAGGAGATTGTCGTCGTCGTCGTCGTCGCCCCCCTTGGCGGCGAAGCCGCCGCGCCGCGGCGTCCTCGTCCTCCGTGAAGCTGTCCTCGGGCGGACCGCCGGGAGGAGACCCGTTATGCCCGCCCGCCGCCCTCGCCGCCGCACCCCGCGGGGGGAGGGGAGGCTGGAGGGAGAGGAGCAGGGCTGGGGCACGGCTCGGGGATGCTCCGGACAGGACGAGGAGGAGGAGGAGGAGGAGGAGCAGGAGCAGGAGCAGGAGGAGGAGGGGAGGAGGAGGAGGAGGAGGAGGAGGAGGAGGAGGAGGAGGAGGAGGAGGAGGAGGAGGAGGAGGGAGAGGAGGAGGAAGAGGAGGAGGAGGAGGAGTAGGAGGAAGGGAGGAGGAAGGGGACGGGGCGTAAGCGGAGGAGCCTCTTCTCCTCCTCCCCCCCGTCCTGCTCTGCCCTTCGCCCCCGCCTCGCGGTCCTCGTCCGGCGCCGCTCGGCCTGGCCTCCAGTCCTCCTTCGGTCGCTCCTCCTCCTCCTCGACGTTCTCCCCCTTGCCCCCTCCGCCGCCTCCACCCCTCTCCTCCTGCCCTCCTTGATTGCTTGATTGCTTGATTTTATATGGGAAGAACAAACGATCCTGGCGAAGGACCCAACCATATGAAGTTGTGAATACCGCAATTGTGAATACCTTCTTCAGTGGAGCTCTCTATGGGGCCACGGAGCGCTGTACTGGGTGGGGGGCACGCATGCGTTGCGAAGCACTGGGGCCTTCGGTGGAGCTCCCTATGGGACCACGAAGCGCTGCACTGGGTGGGGGGGCACGCATGCGGGCGGTAGCACTGCGGCCTTCGATGGAGCTCCCTATGGGACCACGAAACGCTGTACTTGGTGGGGGTGGGGACGCATGCGGGCGGCAGCACTGGGACCTTCGGCGGACTTCCGTATGGGGCCACGAAGCGCTGCACTGGGTGGGGTGGACGCATGCGGGCGGAAGCGATGGGACCTTCGGTGCAGCTCCCTATGGGGCCACGAAACGCTGTATTGGGTGGGGGGGCGCATGCGGACGGGTATACTGGGGCCGTCGGTGGAGCTCCCTATGGGACCACGAAACGCTGTACTGGGTGGGGGGGACGCATGCGGGCGGTAGCACTGAAGCCGTTGGTGGAGCCCCCTATGGGGCCACGAAGCGCTGTACTGGGTGGGGGGGATGCATGCGGGCGGTAGCACTGGGACCTTCGGTTGAATTCCATATGGGGCCACGGAACGCTGTACGGAGTGGCGGGGACGCATGCGGGCGGTAGCACTGCGGCCTTCGGTGGAGTTTCCTATGGGGCCACAAAGCATGTGAGGGGTGTGCTCGAACAGGTGATGACGATGATGATGGGAGGAGGGAGGAGAAGTGGGAGGAGGAAGGAGGCGGGAGAAAAACGCGGTGCGCCGTGTATTCAATACGAGGACCCAACACCACAGGATATTCTTTGGTGTATTCAATACAAGGACCCAGCCATATGCAGTTGTGGGTGCCGCAATTGTGAATATCTTGTTCGGTGAAGCTCTCTATGGGGCCACGGAGCGCTCCACTGGGTGGGGGGGAACGCATGCGGGCGGTAGCACTGGGGCCGTCGGTGGAACTCCGTATGGGGCCACGAAACGCTGTACTGGGTGAGGGGGCCGCATGCAGGCGGTGGCACCGGGGCCTTCGGTGGAGCTCCCCATGAAGCCACGAAGCGCTGCACTGGGTGGGGGGGACACATGCGGGCGGCAGCGCTGGGGCCGTCGGTGGAGCTCCCTACGGGGCCACGAAATCCTGTACTGGGTGGGGGGGACGCATGCGGGCGGTAGCACTGGGACCTTCGGTGCAGCGACCTATGGGGCCACGAAGCGCTGCAATGGGAGGGGAGACGCATGCGCGCGGCAGCGCTGGGGCCGTCGCTGGAGCTCCCTATGTGGCTACGAAACGCTGTACTGACAGGGGGGGGCGCATGCGGGCGGCAGCGCTGGCCGTCGGTGGAGCTCCCTTATGGGGCCACGAAGCGCAGCACTGGGGTGGGGGGGACGCATGTGGGCGGTAGCACTGGGACCTTCGGTGCAGCTCCCGAAGGGGCCACGAAGCGCTGCACTGGGAGGGGGGACGCATGCGGGCGGCAGTGCTGGGGCCGTCGGTGGAGCTCCCTATGGGGCCACGAAACGCTGTACTGACTGGGTGGGACGCATGCGGGCGACAGCGCTGGCTGTCGGTGGAGCTCCCTATGGGGCCACGAAGCGCTGCACTGGGTGGGGGGAGACGCATGTGGGCGCTAGCGCTCAGACCTTCGGTGGAGCTTCCTACGGGGCCACGAAGCGCTGGGTGGTGGGGACGCGCTGGGGCCGTCGGTGGAGCTCCCTGTGGGGCCACGAAACGCTGTACTGGGTGAGGGGAACGCATGTGGGCGGTAGACCTGGAACCTTCGGTGGAGCTCCCTGTGGGGCCACGAAGCGCTGTACTGGGAGGGGACGCATGCGGGCGGCAGCACTGGGGCCTTCGGTGGAGCTCCCTATGGGGCCACGAAGCGCTAGGTGGGGTGGCCGCATGTAGGCGGCAGCGCTGGAACCTTCGGTGGAGCCCCCTATGGGGCCACGAAGCGCTGGGTGAGGGGGGACGCATCCGGGCGGTAGCACTGGGGCCGTCGTAAACGCATGACGGGTGCGCCAACATGGGGCAGGGATGCCATGCGAGCTCCGCCGCTGGGGCCTCGGGTGGAGCTCCCTGTGGGGCCACGGAGCGCGTGGGGGGCGTGCCGAGGCAGGAGACGCGCGGAGGGCAGGGGCCGAGAGGGAGAGGAGGGAGGGGGGACGGCGGGAGGAGGCGGAGACGCGGGGCGCCGTCTCTGCAAGACGAGGGCCCGAGACCACAGGACGGCTGGGGCAGCAACTCCTCCTGCCCTCCCCGCTCCGTGCGCGGGCTACGGCTGCCCGTCTGCTTCCGAGCTTCGCCGCTTCACCGATCCCTACTATGCTGAGGTCGGGCCCGTCACCCTACAGGGGTATTTTGGGCGAGCAGTTGAAGATGTTCTAAGGATATTCAAGAAAACAAAAAAGTCAAGCAATCGTCCCGAAACTCTGTGTTTATTATTTGGACTATTCCTCCTGTAGAGGGACATGCCCGACTTAATACTACGCCCCACTATGGCGGGGCCTGAGCCTTCCCCCGGCCGAGGTACCCCCTCGAGATGGAGATGAAGTGCAGGCTGTCTCCTTGGGGTTTCGAAGGGTGTGTATCCACAGCTGGGGTGGTGGCACGGTGGGTACCGGGATGGGGATGGGGACGCACGGCTTCCCCCGGGGCCGTAGGCGACCCGATGAGGAGGATGATGATGATGAGGAGGAGGAGAAGGAGGATGAGGAGGAGGAGGGGGAGGAGGAGGAGGAGGGGGAGGAGGAGGAGGAGTAGGGGGAGGAGGAGCAGGAACAGGAACAGGAACAGGAGGAGGAGGAGGAGGAGGAGGAAGAGGAGGAGGAGGAGGTGGAGGAGATGGAGGAGGAGGGAGGAGGAGGAAGAGGGGAAGGAGGAGGAGGATGAGGAGGACGGGTCGCCTAAGCCTTTCGGAGAAACCCGCCACTGTTTCCTTCTGGTTTCGAAGGTTATATCCCCAACTGGGGTAGTGGAATGGTGGGTATCGAGATGGGGATGGGGATAAAGATCGGTTAAGCTCGGGGGGGCGTAAACTCGGGTCTTGGGGGGACTCTGGTTGGCCTGACGGGGCCATCATGAAGATGACTAGACCCACTCTGACATTTTCATGCGAACTCCCGCTGCAAACATCCCACGCACACTGGACCGTCAAAACCAAGGGCGCGCTCGTCAGACAATTTCCCGAGTTCTGGCGTTATCGAGTCTTACGTTTCCCCGATCAGCGACCCAGAGCTCCTCTTCCCGTCCACGCGGGGCAACGATGGAGGGATAGGGATAGGGGGGGACATCGACCAACAGGGCGGATAGGGATAGGAGGATAGGGGGGGATAGGGATAGGGTTAGGGGGGATGGGGATAGGGGATAGGGGATAGGGGATAGGGGATAGGGATAGGGGGATAGGGGGGGATAGGGGGGATAGGGGGGGGGGACATCGACCTGGAATCGGCGATACCTCGCCGATAGATCGGCGATGGGCCTCTGATAATGACTCCGCACCTCCCCGGGCAGGTTGGAGCCATCGGGCCCCTAGATCGGGAATCAATGGGCGATTGGGGGTCGATGCCTCCCCCCCCTGTGACTATCGCCCCCCGATCGTTGCCCCCGATTCCTCCTCCGAAGCCTCCCAACGTCGGCAAACCCGAATTCCGGCGCACTCGAGTCTTACTGGAAGAAGATACAACGGCATAAACACAAACTATTGGCCCTCCGGCGCCCCCTCCCTGGCGCGCGGAGCGCGCCAGGGGCGGCGCCGGAGGCGCCGCCTGGGGGGGCCCAGCGTGGATCCAAGAAATCTGCGCGGAGCGCCAAAAATGTATGTTTATGCCATTGCTTGTTCTTCGAGTCTCACGTTTCCCCGATCGGTGACCCTGAGTTCCTTTCCCCTTCCTCCCCCCCCAGCCTCACGCTTCCCCGATCTGCGACCCTGAGCTCCTCTTCCCTTCCTCCCCCCCAGCCTCACGTTTCCCCGATCGGCGACCCTGAGCTCCTCTTCCCGATCGGCGACCCTGAGCTCCTCTGCCCTTCCTCCCCCCCCCAGCCTCACGCTTCCCCGACCGGCGACCCTGAGCTCATCTCCCCTTCCCCCCCCCCCAGCCTCACGTTTCCCCGATCGGCGACCCTGAGCTCCTCTTCCCTTCCTCACCCCCGATCGGCGACCCTGAGCTCCTCTCCCCTTCCTCCACCCCCAGCCTCACGTTTCCCCGATCGGCGACCCTGAGTTCCTCCTCCTCCTCCTCCTCCTCCTCCTCCTCCTCTTCCTCCTCCTCCTCCTCCTCCTCCTCTCCTCCTCCTCCTCCTCCTCCTCCTCCTCCTCCTCCCCCTCCCCCCTCCTCCTCCCCTCCTCCCCCTCCTCCTCCCCCTCCTCGGCGACCCTGAGCTCCTCGTCCCTTCCTCCCCCCCCGTCTGCCGGCGCCGACCTCGGGCAGGCCGGCGAAGAAGTCGTCCCGGGCGACCGCGGAGCTGCCGGGCCCGCCGCCGCCGGTGGGTTCCTCCGCGCCCGCGTCGCTGCGGAGTCCGGCCTGGCCAGGGGGGGAGGGGGAGGAGGGGGAGGAGGGGAGGAGGGAGGAGGAGGGAGGAGGAGGAGGAGGAGGAGGAGGAGGAGGAGGAGGAGGAGGAGAGGAGGAGGGAGGAGGAGGAGGGGAGGAGGAGAGGGGAGGAGGGGAGAGGAGGAGGGAGGAGGAGGGGGAGGAGAGGAGAGGGGAGGAGGAGGGGGAGGTGGAGGAGGAGGAGGAGGGGGAGGAGGAGGACACGAAGCCCAGGAAGGCAACTCGTCGCCTACATGCGCTGCAAGGCAGCACTCAGGGCACGGGTGTGCAGTTTGTAGTCGTAGGCATTGTCTGCGATCTCGGGAAGGATGTTGTTGTACAGGCGCTATATCAAAGCTATGCGCAATGCAGCTCGCTGAAACTCATCAGGAGGAGGAGGAGGAGGAAAAGGAGGAAGAGGAGGAGGACTGTCGCGTCTCACAACCGGTGCTTGCGCTTCCTGAAATCTCTCGGGCACACCCTGGGCAGGCGCCCTCGGCTGAGAGCAGCAGGTAGACCGGGTACCGGCTGCCCCAGGCGGCCAGCAGCGCCGCCTTCGCCCGCTGGCCGCTGCCGGTGTCGCTCAGCCACGGGATTTCCAGGGGAGGCGTGAAGCCGATGCCGATGCCGATGCCGTTGCCGATGCCAGCGCCTGCGCGCGAGGGCAGCGCCCCCGCCGGGGCCTCCGCGCTCGCGGGGCCGATCTTGCAGTTGCTCAGGTCCAGCTGCTCCAGGCAGGCGCACAGCCGCGGGCAGCCAGCGAGCCCCGCAGCCTGCTCGAAAGTCGGAGACGGCACCCCCACGAAGTCCAGCTCCGTCAAGCCTCCAAAAGCTGCGCGCGGCTCATCCAGCGGAAGCGCGCCTTACTGGTCGTAGCCGCACTCGCGCGTGCTGCCTCGCTCCTGGGGGTGCTGGGTCAGCAGGAGGGCGGTGGTGGCCTGGTGGGCGTGCTGTGCGTGTTCGGACGCAGCCCTGGTGGGGGTGCGCCTGGCCTCGTCCGTGGCCTCCGGCGCGCCCATCTCTCCCTTGCCCTGCTGCAAGGCGGCGGTCTTCGCTTTCTCGGCCTTGTCGTGGTCGCCCTTCAGCGGCGAGGGTCGATCCCAGCAGACGCACATGACGCTGAACCCCTTGAAAAGAACGGCTCTGGAGCTTTGGAGTATTCGTGGCGATCTGGGGTCAGCGTGTCAATCACCAAGCTCACCTGCACCCCGCAGAACGAGATGGTGATGATCGGCGCCACTTTGTCCCGCACTCCTCGCCCGCCCTCCTCCCAGACGGCATGGAGCTTCTCCGCGGACACGAAGTGCCTCCTCCGGCAGCTCCCTAGGCGCCTCCCTATGGGACCGTGCCGCGGTTCTGCAGCAGCCACGACATATGCGGACCAGGCGCACGGGGTGCGGGCTTCCGCGGTGCACGCGAGCGCATCGAAGAGGCTCGCGGCGTCCGTGCACCGCCTCGGGTCGAAAGACTCCTCCTCCTCCTCCTCCTCCCCTCCTCCTCCTCCTCCTCCTCCTCCTCCTCCTCCTCCTCCTCCTCCTCCTCCTCCTCCTCCTCCTCCTCTCTGGGCTTTGGGGACCTCCTGTATGCTCTCGACGGCAAACATCTTGAAGTCGGCGACTCCGTCACGCTTTTCAATCACCGCGGCGCACTCGGGACCTATGAACCAGCCCATGGTCTTCTCGAAGTCAGCGAATTTCAAGACAAAGGTCATCTGGCCCGTAGTGCCAAACGCCTTGGACTCTTTCATGCCCATCTTTGCGGCCATCGCGGGTACTAGCGCGCGCTTGATAACGAACTTGTCTCCGTAGGGGTCCAGGGACGACTCGACCATAAGGCTGTAGACGCTCTCAAACTCATCCGGCCTTTTCAAGTCGAGGAAACCAACCACGAAGCTGGACACGGTTAGATGGGGGTACCCTCGACGACGGCCATCTTGAAGTCGGCGACCGAATCGCGACTGTCAAGCACCGCGGCGTACCCAGGACCCGTGAACCAGCCCATGGCCTTCTCGAAGGTGTCAAACTGCAGCATGAAAGCCTACTGGCCTGTGGTGCCAGAGCCCTTGGACACCTTCATGCGCATCGTTCCAGCCATCTGGGGGGTCAGCGCGTGCTTCAAGATGAGTTTGTCGACTTAAGGCTATAGAGTCGGTTCGGCCATGAGGCCGTAGACATTCTCGAACTCCTAGGGCTCCTTCACGTCGATGATGCCATGGACATAGAATTTCTTCTCCTGGGCCACGGGGATATCCTGGGCCGAAGGGATTGCCTCGCGCTGCGACACCATGCAGTACCCCATCCTGAAGACGCAACGACCGGCCAACTCGCGGAGGCAGGGTCTGCCGGGCGACGTCAAAGTTGCAGCAAGTTTGTGCTCTGGATCTTGAGCCAAAATGGCTCCGGGGAGAAGGAGGAGACGGAGGAGGGGGTGGAGGGGCACTGCTCGGCTGGCGTCGGCCGACCACCCCCCGCTCCTTTGGGGCGTGCCCCCGCCCCGCATTCACCGTGGGCGCGCGGGGGGTCTGCACTGGCCGCGGGGGGGCGTGACAGCCTTGGCGTGAGGGAGAAGAAGAAAGAACAAACTGTTTCTGCCCTCGCGGACCTCCTCCAAGCCCTGGGGACCGTAGCTCGGAGACTGCCCGTTTCGCCAGTTGAGGGGAAGGGGGCTCCGCCGTGCAAAAAAAAACACCAGCCAGGGAAGGGAGGAGGCGGAAGCAGAGGAGGGGGCCAACAGCGGCAGCTTCTGTGCCCCCCAGGCACCTCGGGATCTCTCGACCCAGCTCTGCACTTCGGGATCGAAGGATGGACAGGGCGAGGATCATGTCGGGATGCGGTTGGCCCAGGAAGCGCTCTGGGAGCTCAAGAACTCTCGGCGGCCCTCGGCTATTCGTACCCGGCCGCTTGTCTTTGGGCCGCGGAGGACACGATGAGAGCCTGGGACGCTTGGAAACATCACTGGCGCTAGGTCGGGGATGTCCCTCTACAGGCAGATTTGGGGCAAAAAGTAATGGTATGCAAAAAAACAAGAAGTAGTCAAGAACATCATCAACATATCCCCGCCACTATTGTTTGACTATTCTTGCTTGTTCCTCCTGTAGAAGGACAAGCAGATTTTGGGAAACAAGTAATGGTATGCAAAAAACTAAAAACTAGTCAAGAACGTAATCAACATATCCCCTCACTATTGTTTGACTATTCTTGAGTGTGCCTCCTGTAGAACTCCTCGCTCCTCGCCCTCTGGCTTTGCTCCTCGCTCCTCGCAGGCCCGACTTAACATTGGCTCTGCTCCTCGCTCCTCCGACTCGCAGCAACGAGGGATCGAGGCCCCTGGACCCGTCTCGCCCCGCCCGGGCCTCTGGGGGGGGGGGGGCGGTTCCTCGTCGCCACGGCCGGACTCCCCCTGGGACCGGGGCCAAAACGCACCCAAGGACGGAGGAGGAGGGGGAGGATGAGAAAGGAGGAGGAAGAGGAGGAGGAGGGAGGAGGAGGAGGAGGGGGATGAGAAAGGAGGAGGAGGAGGAGGAGGAGGAGGAGGAGGAACTTAACATCAAGCGAACCGGGCCTGGAAGAGAAGGGGCCCCGGATCCGCTTCGCCGCGCTCGCTCCCCCGAGGCCGGGCCCCTTTGGCCGCCAAGGAGAGGCTCGGAAGGATGGGCTGGTCATGGGGGGAGCTCCGGGGTCTATAGGAGTTCCCCTCTGCACCCCGCCTCCTCCGTGGCGGAGGAAGGAAAAGGAGGGGGAGCAAGGGAAGGAGGAGAAGGAGGAGGAGGAGGGCGGGGGCTGGGGTGGAGAAGAGGGAAAAGGAGGAGAGGCGGGAGGAGGAGGAGGAGGAGGACGACGACGAAGACCAGGCGGCCGAGTCGCGCAACCACTGACGGGAGCACGGGCCAACATTGGGCCAAGCTCGCACGAAGACGGGCCATGCCATGCCAACGCGAAGCGTAGCGCAAACCTATTGAACGACCTCCAACGACATCCCAGTCTTGGGATGCTTGCCAGCCCGCACTCGCGAGACCAGGGAATTTCTGTTTGCTACGGGCTGGGGGGTGTTCAGAAGGTCTTAGGCAACGGTCTTTACTGAGCGTGCAGTTGGAGACCTGGCTAAAGGACACCTGATAGGAGCCGCACATGGCGCGCACCAGCGCGCCACGGGACACCAACACCTGGTGCCCACTGAGCTCGACGATGGCTTCATCAAGCGGCGCACTGACAGCCTCGGGCCCCTGATTCGCATGAGCGGAACCGTCGCCACCCAGAAACACATCAGAAAAATCCAACGCTACCTGAGCAGCACGTGCGTGTAGGGGAGGGGCAGCCTGGAGCTGGAGATCCCCTGTGGCATTCAGCCTCTGTGGGGCCGTGGGCTCACGAGCGGAGAGCAACATCTGATTGAGGCTCGCTGGGGCCCCATCAACAGCCAAACACACTTTACATTAGAAAAGGGCCCCCGACGAACAACGCTTTGCCCCGCGAGCGTTTCAGGGCCAAGGGGGCCTGGACACGCGCCGCGCGCGCGGGCCGATCACTCAAAGCATCGCGGCGCGCCATCTCGCGCGCGCACCATGCCATGAAGGTAGCCTCCACGCGAACATCACGAAGTACACAGTCGTACGACAGCACGAGCGAACTGGCCACAGCATGTGTCGACGCACCAGCCTGGGCGAACTAATCAGCCTACTCGTTGCAAAGAAAGTGCTCCCAAGGGTGTCGATCCATGTCCAAGAACTCTGCCTCGGTCTTGCAGGCAGGGCACCAATAAAAGCGCGGCGGCTGTCGCCCCCGCATCAAACTGAACGCTGCGCGCCAGAGGGCGGCGCGCTGTGATTGGGCGTCGGCCAGCTGGCCTGCCGACGCGCTGCCCTCCCGAGCCACGCTCGAGCGGTCGGTCACCACCAGCGAAAAACTGCAGGTGCCAGCTTGACTACATACAAACGGGCCGTGCGCTCTGCTCTGCCCACCGTCTGGCTCGGCCCCGACAGTGGACCATGCGCAGCG